TTAGGAGTTCAAGAATTCTGCCTTGTTTTTAATAGTCTTTCCTTCTGGGGGCGCCTGGGTGGCTCAGTGGGTTAAAGCCTCTGCCTTCAGCTCAGGTCATGATCCCAGGGTTCTGGGATCGAGCCCCGCATCGGGCTCTCTGCTCAGCAGGGAGCCTGCTTCCCCCCTCTCTCTCTGCCTGCCTCTTGCCTGCTTGTCATCTCAGTCTGTCAAATAAATAAATAAATAAAATCTTAAAAAAAAATAGTCTTTCCCTCTGCTGTTAAGAGCCCTCTCTCTCTATAAATGGCTCCATGTACATGGGCTGTGGCAAGGGTGTACTTGCTATCAGTATAGATGTTTATCCGCCTGCCTGCTCCCATTGTTAGTGCCTTGGTTAGCGCAATCAGTTCTGCACGTTGGGCAGATGTCCCAGCCGCCAACAGTTCTGCCCAGTCTCTATCTCTGTGGTCACAGCTGCTCCCGAATACCTGATTCCGTCCCGGACAAAGCTACTGCTGTCTGTATGCCAGGTGTCATCTGCATTCAGCAGTGGTTGATCCTGGAGATCGGCTCTGACTCCGTGCACCTGAGCCAGGATTTCTTGGCAGTCATGTAGGGGTGGTTCCCAGTCAGGGTTAGAGAACAGTGTCGCTGGGTTTAGGCTGTTGGTGCCTGGAACAAAATTCTGGTAGGGTTCAAAAGCCAGCCCTGGTAATGGGTCAAGCGGGCATTGCTGATCCATCGGTCTGGGGGCTGTTTGAGTACCCCTTCGATGGCATGTGGGGTAGTGACCCATAGCCAGCTTATCTGCATCTTTAACCATGGCGGCCACTGCAGCAATAATTTTTAAGCATGGAGGCCATCCAGCAGCCACGGCATCTAATTTCTTAGAGAGGTAGACCCCCGGTCTCTTCCAGGGGGCTATGTATTGAATTAGGACTCCCTTCGCCACCCCTTCTTTTTTTTTTTTTTTTAAAGATTTTATTTATTTATTTGACAGACAGAGATCACAAGTAGGCAGAGAGGCAGGCAGAGAGAGAGAGAGAGGAAGGGAAGCAGGCTCCCTGCTGAGCAGTTAGCCCGACACGGGGCTTGATCCCAGGACCCTGAGACCATGACCTGAGCCGAAGGCAGAGCCACCCAGGTGCCCCCACCCCTTCCTTTTCATCCACGTAAAGGTGGAAGGGCTTAGTCAGATCAGGCAGCCCAAGTGCCGGGGCAGAAAGCAAGAATTGCTTAAGGTCATTGAAGGCTTTGTTCATGGCCTCAGTCCACACAAAGTCCTGTTTGTGTTTTGTGGCCTCGTAGAGGGGCCTAGCTATGTCAGCAAAACCAGCAGAAACCAGCCAACCCCAGGAATTCACATAACTGGCAGACGTTTCAAGGCTGTGGGATTCTCATGACGGTCTCCTTCCATGCATCCATTAACCATCTTTGTCCATCTTTTTATTTGCACCCCAGGTAGCTCACCTCCATTCTGCAGATCTGGGCCTTCTTAGCTGAAGCCCGTTATCCTAGAGTTGCTATCACTTGGAGCAAATCCTTGGTGCCTTGTAGGCATGTTTCCTGGTCCTCTGCTGCCGACAGGGTATCATCTACATATTTTATAGAGTCAGATTAGGGTGCTCGGCATGGAACTCACCTAAGTCCTCGTGTAGTGTCTCGTCAAAGATGGTGGGCGAATTCTTGAGTCCTTGCGGCAGTCGAGTCCAGGTGAGTTGGCCATCGATGCCCTTTTCCAGGTCCGCCCACTCAAAAGTGAAGAGGTCTTGGCACTTTGAGGCCAAAGGCAAGCTGAAGAAGGCATCCTTTAGGTCTAGCACTGTGTACCAAGTCTTGTCTGGGGGCAAGGTGGAGAGGAGAGTGTAGGGGTTTGGGATCATAGGGTGCATGTCCATCACCCGTCGGTTGACTTCCCTCAAGTCCTGGACCGGTCTATAGTCATTAGAGTGTGGCTTTTGCACCGGCAGCAGGGAGTGTTTCATGCCAACTGACAAGGCCGCAGTATGCCCGAGTCTAGCAGTCACCGGATGTGTGGGGTGATCCCCGTCCGTGCTTTGAGAGGCATGGGTTATTGGCGGACCCTGACTAGATCTGCCCCGGGCTTTAGTTCAGTGTATATAGCCGGCCGATGTTGAGCCAGTCCCATTCCACCAGTTTCTGCCCACGCTTGGGGAAACTCCTGCAACCAGTGGTCAATGTCGGTCATTGGTGCTGGGGGCATTTGGTGAAGACGATATTCGTCCTCGAGGTTCATGACAAGCACCTGGATCGGGTGCCCCTCTTTATCCAGAACCTTTGCCCCTTTAGGGTGGAAACTAATTTGGGCTCCCATCTTGGTGAGTAGGTCCCGGCCTAACAAGGGGTAGGGGCACTCAGGGATGACCATGAAGGAGTGGGATACCCAGCCCACGCCGAGATCCACTGTTCTTTGGGTAGTCCATGAATATTGCTTAGTGCCCGTGGACCCATGAGGTCTTGTTTGTCAACTTCCCTTGAGGTCGTAGCAAGACAGAGTGTGTGCCTCAGTGTCTACTAGGAATTTAATCGGTTGCCCCTCCACTTTAAGGGTTACCCCGGGCTTGGGGAGGGGTGCCGAACCCCAACCCCCCTAGTCATCTAAATCTTTGACCTCCAAGATAGTAGCAGAGGCCTTTGGTCTTTTGTTGGGGCAATCCTTTAGCCAGTGGCCTTCTTCCTTGCAATACGCAGTTTGGGTTTTTATTCAGTTTGGGGTGTTCTCGACGGGGGCCATCCTCCTTACCTGCTCCTGAAGCCAATTCTTGAGACGTCTGTTTTTCATTGTGGGTCATCCGTGGTTGTGGCCAGTAGGATCTTAGCCAGGTTCTGGGTCTGACGGTCACTTATCTTAGCCTGTTGTTCCTCCAGGCTCTCTCTGTTATTGTAGACTCTATCTGCCACCACTATCAGATCCTGTAGGCTCTTTTTTCCTAGTCTTTCTACCCTCTGCAATTTCCTTTTAATGTCCGGCTTGGTTAACAAAAGCCATAACAATGGCAGCTCTGGTTTCTGGGGCCTCTGGACTCATAGGGGTGTACTGTCTGAACGCCTCTATGATCCTTTTTAGGAATGCCGCCGGACTCTCATCTTTACCCTGTCTTACATCATATACCTTGGCCAGATTGGTAGGCTTGCGTGCTGCAGCCTTGAGACCTGCCATTAGAGTCTGGCGGTAGACCAGAGTCTCTCCTTACCTTCTGCCAAGTTGTAGTCCCAGGCGGGGCGAGACAAGGGGAAAGCTGCATTTATGAGATTAGGGTTCTGAGTTGGCTGTCTGTCTCACCCAGGACGGACTTTCAGGCTCCCACCTGGATTCGCTCTCTTTCCTCAGTGGTAAAGAGAACCTGTAAGAGCTGCTGACAGTCATCCCAGGTGGGCTGATGGGTGAAAAGAATAGTATCCAAAAGACCAATAAGATCTTTTGGGTTATCGGAGAACTTTGCGTTTTGGGTTCTCCAGTTGTATAAATCACTAGTAGAGAATGGCCAATATGACATCGGCTGTCCCCCCATTTCATCGGGGGGTCCCACAGCGTGGAGGGGAAGGACAGTGGAATTGGCCGGTCCCAGGTTTGGGGTTGGGGCTGCCCAATGGGTCCATCCATGTGTCCCCGCCGCTGGCCCATGTATGAGGGCCCCTCCATCTGGGAGGGGGAGGGGCACTCCCTGGGCAGCCCCCAGTGCTTCTGCTGGAGGGGAAGACGGGGAGGGGAAACCTGGTAGGGTGGTGAAGAATCAGGTGCTCCGTGGAAGTGTCCTGAAGGACCGGGTAAAGAGGAGTCTTTGGTTTGGACTCCGTTTCCTTGTCAGACTTAGGAGTTGGGTTCCGCAGGGCTAGGATCTTGGATGTAGGTCCTGCTTTGGGAGGGAGAAAAGGTTTAAGCCAGGAGGGAGGGTTCTCAATCATATCCTATCAGACCAGGATATATTGCACTTGGTCAGGGTGGCCGTGCAGTTTCTCTCTGAAGATGACGGCCTTAACCTATAAGATAATAGGCAGTTGAGAAGTTCCGTCCCGGGGCCATCATCCAACATTAAAGGCTGGCCATTCAGACATGCAGAAAGTGTGAAACTTTCCCTTTCGTACACCCATGCTCAGATTATGAGCTCTTTCCCTGACGTCTGAGAAGTGGCCAACCATGAGAGACAGAGGGGTTGTCTGTGTCGTGATCTATCACGTCCCCAGTCCACACCAAGACAAAGACATTTATGACAATTAACAAGAACACACTCACACAAACAAACGGTCTGGCGCGGCCGCAAAGACAAAACTGAAAGTAAGTTGAGGGGCGGTCCGACTGCGCTGGCAGCCGGCTCTCCTCACAGATGAGATACGGCTTGGAATTCCTACAGGTAAAAATGCAGACTGCAGCTCCCCGAAAGTATGCGCGCAAACAGGTAAAAACGAGTGCACTCACCAGCCGGCGCAGGACCCTCCGGGTCGGGGACCTGGGGGTCTCTCAGATCTCGGTGGGACCTCCAAATGTTGTGCCCAAGTTTTCGTGTCCGAGAGACCACCAAGGAGCCAACACTGATGCAATCACACGAGGGTTTATTCAACAAGCTTAAGCTTGGGCACAAGTATACCCGACACAGCGTAGTAGGGACTTGGACCCCGAGTCTAGTTAAGGCAGGGGTATTTATGTGTCATTACAAGAGGCTTGGTGGGGGACGAGGGGAAATTTCAGAAAAGCTTCCGGACGTCAATCTGACAATGACCTGGGCAGTTTAAAAATACACCTCCCGGGACACCTGGAGGGCTCCGTAGGTTAAGCGACTGTCTTCCACTCAGGTCATGATCCCAGGGTTCTGGGATTGAGTCCTACATGGGGCTCCTTGCTCAGCAGAGAGCCTGCTTCTCCCTCGCCCTCTGCCTGCTACTCTGCCTGCTTGTACTCTCCATCAAAAAAATTCAAAAAAAAAATCTTAAAAAAAAAAAATATATATATACACACACACACACACACACACACACACATATATATACCTCTCACATACCTGGAATTTGGTGGCTGTTCTGATGTAGGAGATTAAATTCAGGCAGATTGCACCCTCATAAGCCACCTCCAGCATTAGAAGGAATACAGAACTAGCACACTCCCTGCACATCTACATTAATCCTCTGAGTTTCCTACATGAATTATCTGGTAGTTGATGAGATAGGGCCTCTGCTGGGGAAGTTGTCACATACAGAAGGCCTTCATCCAGGGTGAACTTTCCAACACCGAAGGAGCACCAGAGCTTTATTTAAAGGATTTCCCAGATTCCCCATACTCAAGAGGCCTTCCTCCAGTGTGAATTCTGATGTTGGAAGAGCACAGAACTTTGGCTAAAAGATTTCCCACATTCACCACACTCATAAGGCCTTGATTCAGCGTGAAACCTCAGGTAATTAGAGAGACTGGATCTGTAAGGAAACAAGTTCCCACATTCCCCGCACACGTAAGGCTCTTCCCCAGTGTGAACACTGATGCGGAATGAGGCTGGCCTTAATGCTAAATAATTTACCACATTCTGCACACTTACTAAGGCCCTTTCCCAGTGTGAACTCTCCAACGGTGATTGAGGCGGTACCTTTTGGTCAAAGACTTCCCACATGCACTACATACGTAACATCATATTCTAGAAAGCTCTCTCCGGTGCTGAATAAATGTGTATTTGTTCTCACAAGTTTTCAAGCATCCTCCTGATTTATAATGAATTTCTATATCGTGTAAGGCCACTATGCACTTGGCACTGCTCTTTGACTTATTGTTGGAGAGACCCAGAGCTGGTCAAAAAGTCCTTCCCAACCTCCCTACAGATAAAGGGCTTCCTTGACACAAAGAACTTGCAGCTCTTCACGAATGAAGTTCTGCTTCTGAAGTGTTTCTCTCTAATGTCCTGCTTCCAGAGCTATGGAAGGTTTGCGGTAAAATATAATCATTTCCCATGTGCCCCATAGGTGTAGGGTTTCTGGCTGGTACGTGTTCCTTGGCACAGCCAAACGCAAAATCTCTCTCAAGACCAGGCTATATATCTCATAGGAGTGGGCCCTCTGGGCAGACACATCTGCCTTGGAGTCCTGACCTCTGACACTTCTATAGAAATCCTCTGCTCAATAGGTACCTCCTCCTCATCTGCTCCACATCAACAACCTGAAAGAAATAAAATGCTGAAGGAGTCCATGTTGACTCTGGTTGGACGAGACCACCCATACGCCAGAATGTGTTTGACAAACCCAGGACAAGTCCGTGTGATTATCTGCAAAACAGATTTGGTTCCAGTTCAGGACACAGTGTCTTTGCTCCAGGGAAATAAAAAGCATAAAATGGGAAAGGTCTCAAATGGTGAAGGACACAACTATGACGTGTGACATGAAGGAGAGCCGGGTCTATAACCCGTTTCTCGGCAAAAAACCTCTAGCCAGCTCTTGGTTCCTGATGACGCATGCCCATTATGCGGAAGGGTTAAGTCCAGGACCAAGAAAATTCAACTGCAATAGAGTCACTCATGTTAAAGGCCTATTTGAGCAGACATGCACACCTCATGACAAAATGCGCAGCGGTCAATGCGGGCAGCACTGCAGATGGAGCGGTGAGGAAAGCAGGCAAGACGTGGAGTCCAGAGAGGCAGGGACTGGTCACGCAAAGGATAGGAGAGTAGAAGTGACATGTAGAATGACAAGTAGGCAGAGGATCAAGACTGGTGAGGAAAGAGCAAAAATGAGGTGTGCCCACAGGCACCAAAATACTAATCGAAAAGAACAGATTTCTGTTACAACCGATGTTCCGTTTCTTAAACACAGCCCTGATTTACACCCTCCCCGAGGGGCCAATCCTCCAGATCAGGATCCTCCTGAGCCCATCTTGCTGTGGCTGGATCAACAGCCGTCTGCGAACCACATAGAGCCTCTCCAACCTACTCCCAAGATGAGCAACTACATGGCACCCGCATGATGCAATCACCAAGGGGAAGATGTCACAGAAGAGCAGAAAGTACTGGGCCAGAACAACTCAGTATTTGATTGCCTGGTGGTGTGGTGTGGGGGTGGGTGGTGTCTTGGAGGAGAGTCTTACAGGAAGAGATCATGGTCCCTATAACTTAATCATGTCGGTGTTAGCAATTCCTGGCATACATAGTCATGAAGAAATGTCAGCTAGAGGAAAGAAGTAGCAACTGGTGTATTCGGGTGCCTAGATCTGGACAGTATCACCGGGCCAGGGAGAGGGCAAGCAAAGAACAATCAATTACAATGACCATCAGATGCCTGACCCTGCGCTGGTGCTGCTCAGGGGGAGGGCAGTGCACACACCTCAGACTTACTAGCCACAGCACATGCTCAGGCAATCAGGGAAACAAGCAGTGTCCATGGGCCCGATATGAGAAGGCCAGACCAGCCCCTGGGAAAAAGGGACGAGCAAAGAACATCTAAGGGTACAGTGAACAACCAGGGGCCATGAGAGGCAAGTTTTACAAGATCAAGAGGTGAGGTATAATCTGGTTCCCATAGGATGATGTGAAGGACTTGTGCGAGTAACTCCATGGGCTTGTAGAGAATTGAAACACACTTTAAAGGCATAAGCAGGAACGCTCTGGTCCTCCTGATGAAAAGGGAGTCTTGGCTAGGAGACCTGTCCAAGAGTGGGGAGGAGAACCTGAACTCAGGCCATGTCAGGCACTCAGAGTTTCAACAGGTGCCAAGGCAGCACATAATAATGGGCCTTAATTTTAGGCCATGAAATACAACTTAGCAGAAAACATCCAGAGTTCCTTGGCAAATTCCCATAGGACCCAATACTAGTCCAGAGCTCCCATGGCTCCTGCTAGAATTGGAAACACCTAATCCTTCTACGAAGGCCTCCCTCCCTGGCTCTGTTCCATGCCTGAGACCAAGCTACACAGAACCAGTTGTGGTTGAAACCATGGCCCTCTTCCATTTCTGTGCTGTACTTGATGTCCCCTCCACAATGACAATCGTCTCTGTCCACCTAACCCCTATTCAAAGCCCAGTCCATTTATCACACACCCCCGTCCTACTGATTCTCACAGACGACCATAATCTGCCCCTGAGCATACCACCAGTCTGAATGACATAACCCAGGTCCCACCAAAATCACTGGGAATCCACACAGACGTGAATGAGCAAGAGCTTTGGCCTGAGTGACCTCTTGCCTCAATTACCCCTCGTCTCTGCATCTCTCTCACGCCCATTCTTATCTTGGAAGCCTTGGCCACCTGCTAGACTGGTCTGTCTGATACACCCTACTTTTAAGGGCACAAATCTCCCTAATTGGCATTTATGAATTCCAATACCATCACTCAGGTACCCAAGGGAGAGACCCAGTGCTCAGCCCCTACCCTCTACTTCCTGGCCTATGAACAGCTTCACACCAATCAACAAGAAGGTTATACCTCCTAAACGTAACCACAGGTCACTTCCTTGGGTCCACACAGTAAATACCACATTTTGAATGTCTCCAATTTGAACTGTTCTTTTGATTTCCCAACTTGTGTTTCCAGCTGCCAATTTGATGCCTCCACCCAGTGGTCTCTGAAATACCTCTGAATCTAAACATAGCTGTTAGGGTCCGTAATCAAAGGAGCGAGACTGATACAAAGCGAAGGTCAAGCAAAGCTTTATTTCGCACCAAGCATTGAGAATCAAACTGACCGGTCAGGGGCATCTCTTGCAAAGAGGTGACCCCTCCCAGCCTCACAGACTAACTTTTATAGAGGTAGTTTAGCCGGGCTATACACAGGTGGCCAATGAGATTGCAATACACAGAGAAAACTGCACAGTCATGCTAAGTCTGCCACACACAGAAAAAAAAACTGCTAGGTAACACACGGGTGGCCAATTGAATTTCAATTTACCCTACTAGATATACGCGCGCCCAACTGATTGGTTGTCTTCACCTGGCCTGACCCGCCCTTGTATCTAGGCTTTGCAAGTAAGTTCCTCTGGGAGGGGCAGGGTCAATCTAAGTTCACTACATAAACACAAAATGACTCCCTCTAGCCAACCAGGCCCTTACAATGGCCAAAACAAAGCTCCTGATATCCCCAGTGAACATTATTTCTACTACCAACTTCCTCCTCAGTTGGAACTTCCAACCCTACAGCTGCAGAGATCAAACACCCTGGGGTTATCCCTGATACCTCTTTCTCCCCCTCACCACCCACATTAGAAAATCTAGTTTCCCGTTTTAAAACATGAATCCATGGTTGCATCCAAAAATGTGACCACCCTAAACCACAGTCCTGGTCAATTAACCTTCACCTGGTTTATGGTAGTAGCCTTTGCCCTGATTTCCCTTGTCCCTCCCTCATTTCCATGGTCTATTCTCTGCTTTACAGGAGACTGTTTTTGACTTTTCTAACATTATCTCTCTCTTCTGATCAAACCTCCTATGATGTCCAGAAGAGACACCCAATTTTTTCAGGCAGTCATTCCTATCCTGACATGTGTCCTCCTGCTCTTTGTTCACATCATAAAAGGAAACCTGTGATTCCTGAACACCCCCAACTCAACTTTACCTCCTTGTAAATGTACCACATCCTGGTACCTGCTCCTGGGTTAACCCTAAACACTCGTTTATGTTGGATGACAGAAATGGGAACACCATCATATAACCCCTGACATCAACTTAGGACTCTGAGATTGGGGTTTCTCTACAGTCCTCAGACCCAAGGACTAGCAAAACAGCACGTAAGAGCCCAGAGAACATCTGGGTGTCAGTCAGGGCTAGGAAACGACTAGGACACCCTCTACATACCCGTGCTGGTTCCACAAGTACTTCTGCAGTCCTGGGACTCTGTGGGAAACGGCAGGCCTTTAAAGAATGCCACCCCGGGGGGCGGGCGGGGGCGGGGGGGAAATGATGGGCTCGTGCCTCTCTGCACTCTTCCAGGCCCTGGAGCCAAGTGAGCTCACGCTGTCTAATCAGTGGGCCTCAGGGCTCAATGCTGTCTTACCGGCTGTGTGACCCTGAACAGAGACTCAGCCTGCCAGTTCCTCGGAGTACTCATCTCCCACCTCCAAACTGCTCTTCTTTAGAACTCCCTGGGGGAATCTTGAAACGCTAATGGAGATAGTGTTCCTCCTTTGGCCAAAGTCCCCTTGGCTTCTAGTGTCCTCCCAAGAAGGTACCGCACCTCCGCCCGCCAATCCAGGCGTCTCAGCCTCAGGCTCTCCGTCCCCTTGTCCCGAGGGCAGAATCCTCCCGCCTCAGGCCCCCTGAAGCCCCCGCCCCAGCGGCCCCCCAGCCCGGAGCCCGCTCCCACACGCCGCCCGCCGGCGCTCACACACGCGACCCCGCCCACCGGCGCCTCCCTGTCCCGGACACCCGGGCCTGGGCCGCAGGGCCGCGAGCAGGCGCCCCGCGCTCGGGCCTTCGGTTTCGGGGGGGGGGGGGGGGGGGGGGCCCGGGGGACGAGCGCTTACGGGAGCCGGATCCCTGGGCGCGGCCGCCGCCATCGGACTCGGTGGTGGAGCGGACAACAGGACAGCGGTCCAGGTCCCGGCCCGGAGCCGGGCAGCCCGGGACCCAAATCTCTGCGGTAAGGGCGAGCCTTTTTACGCCTACTCCCCTCTGCTACCTACTCCTCAGCCCTGCGGAAGGGATCCCTCAGAATTGCAAAACGCGCGCTGGAAGCCGGGAGTCCCGCCCCGACGCGATGCGCACGCGCAGATATGCTCGTCCTGAAGCGTCTTCGGCTCCTCGGAATGCAGGATCTTGTGGGTAATGAAGTCCTAGAGCTCTGGCGGTGGCAGGATAGCGGGTTTGATAAGCCAGAGTATCCAGCATAGGCTGCGCGGCACTAGGAGGGAAGCTGGAAAATAATATTCCTGCCTCAGGAGAGGAGGAGGCTTTGCCCATGTCAAACGCATTAAAAAGAAATTGTTTCAGACTCCACAAAATCAGCCTACTCCAAGAGGATAAAAATCTTACCTGAGATGATCCCAGATCTACTTAACATAAATAGCCTAATCATCCCATAATCAGTCATAAAATGTGTCCTTGAATAGCTGGAAACGTTATGTTATTGTTCTTCAAATGCTGTGGACTGAAGCACTATTCAGTGTTTCATTATGTTTGGTCAGGAAGAATAGAAAAAACTCCAAAGAGGGCCATGAGTGGGAAGAAAGAAGAAAAATGTTAGACTGTCCTGAAGCCGGTGAACAAGTAGGAGCTCTGCGTCTGAATTCCACAGGAAATTTCTCAGTTGCTTATATCATCGGGAATTATGTCCTATACACTGAAAAACACTTTTTATCCACATTTTTTTACTCCATATTCTAAGATATACTCAATTTCTTTTAGCAATCTGAGAAGCAGCTCAATCTTAGAACAACTTAACTAATGCTATCTTTTTTGGGTAATAGACTATATTTTATAGCAGATTTAGGATCACAGCAAAACTGAACAAAAGGTACAGAGATTTCCCCTATAGCTCTGCCCCGCCAACCAAAGCTCCCCCATTACCGGTATACCTCAAGCAGAGTAGTAATTTGTTACAATTAATGAACTTCACTGACATATCATTATCACCCAAAGCCCATAGTTGTATAAGGATTCACTCTCAGCTCAGTCATGATTTACTTGGATCAAGGGCTCTTCTTGCAAGACCCTCCCTCTGAATTCTCTTTTCAGTAGTTTTCTTTCCTGTAGGCTGTCCTGTCCTGAGCTATTCTTGACCTTGACCAGCGTTAGCTGCTGTTTTATTCTGTCTTCCCCTTAATAATTATATCATCCCATGCAGTTACTTATCTTGGGGGTGGGATGGAGATCCCCTGGGAGTACACAAGATGTATATGAAAATAGCCACAGCAAGATGGGGTCACAGGAAGTCTGGCCCTGAGAAGTCCCTGGAGGAGGACATGACATCAGGATTGTATACAAATCAGTGCCAGAAATCTATTGTTTAACTAGTATTTTGGTGCCATTATTGTGCCCACACCCCATTTTTGCCTTTTCTTCCCCATGCTTCTCGCTCTGCTGACTTTTCAATTGTACTACTTGTCACTTCTCTTACTTCCAGTTCCAGGGCTAATCCTCACATCTCTGGACTGGTGTCACTCACTCTCCTCACTGCTCCATCGGCAGTGTGCCCCACAATTAAGCTCTATGTGTTGTGTCATGAGATGCACACATGTTCTCAAATCGTCCCTAAACACGAGCTGCTCTGTTGCAGTTGGATTTGCTAGTACCTGGACATATCTCTCTACACAGTGCTCACATGGGAGCAGCAGATGAGACCTGATGAACACTGTTTGCAGAGGAGCAAGTGGTAGACCCGGCCTCTCCTCCATGTTGTACCCCATGGTTGTGTCTTTCACATTCTTTCTTCATTCTGCCTTTTATTACAGGTTATTTATGTGAATGTTCACTTTTACCGACAGTCTGTGAAGGTTAAAAATTCTATTGGGACACCTGAGTGGCTCAGTCAGTTAAGCATCTGCCTTTAGCTCAGGTCATGATTCCAGGGTCCTGGGATTGAGTCCCACATCGTGCTCCTTGCTCAACAGGGAGCCTGCTTCTCCCTCTGCCTGCTGTTCCTCCTGCTTGTGTACTCTCTCTCTATCTATCTGACAGATAAATAAATAAAATTTTTTAAAAAAATTGCAAAGGGGCACCTGGGTGTCTCAGTCATTAAGCGTCTGCCTTTGGCTCAGGTCAAGATCCCAGGGTCCTGAGTTTGAGCCCGACATCAGGCTCCCTGCTCAGCGGGAAGCCTGCTTCTCCCTCTCCCACTCCCCCTGCTGTTGTTCCCTCTTTCACTGTGTCTCTGTCAAATAAATAAATAAAATCTTTTAAAAAAATTACATAAACGGTTTACCATCAATATCTAACCCATCAGGCCTCTATACTAGAAAAACTGTTCTTGTTCCCAGAGGCCTCAACCTCCTCTCTCTGTATCCTTTGAACACCTGTAGCTGGAGTTCATTCAATTGGCACGTAGGATGGGTTATCAATATGTTCTTGTTATTATATGTACATTTTCCAAATGGGTTGAAACTTTCCTCTGCCACAAAGCTGATACCTTCACAGTGGCAAAGAAACTGTTAGAGGGGTGCCTGGGTGCCTCAGTCGGTTAAGCGTCGGCCTTCAGCTCAGGTCACCGTCTCCAGGTCCTGGGATTGAGTCCTGCATCGGGCTTCCTGCTCAGCGGGGAGTCTGCTTGCTCCTCTCTCTCTCTCCCCTCCCCCCTACTCGTGTGTGTGTGCACGCACGTGTGCGCACGTGCACACACACATGTACACCCTCTCTTTTTCTCTCTCTCTCTCTCAAATAAATAAAATCTTAAAGAAAGATTTAGAAAATATGTTTCTTAGAAAATATGTTTTGCACATGGGATATACCTTCCATAATCTCAGTGATCAAGACACACACTTCACTGGGCAAATCATACAAGCCTTAATGAATACCTTGCAAATCTCTTGGAATTATCACTGTCCCTATCACTCTCAATCATCAGTCAAGGTTCAGAAAACTAATGGGATCCTTAAACTTATAATCTCTAAACTTGGGGCGCCTGGGTGGCTCAGTGGGTTAAAGCCTCTGCCTTTGGCTCAGGATCAAGCCCCGCATCGGGCTCTCTGCTCAACAGGGAACTTGCTTCCTTCTCTCTCTCTGCCTGCTTCTCTGCCTACTTGTGATCTCTGTCTGTCAAATAAATAAATAAAATCTTTTTAAAAAGTCTCTAAGCTTGCTGAAACTACTATACTCCCTTGGCCTAAGGAATTGCTTCTGAGTCTGCCATCCATTTGTAGTACCCCCTCCGGAAAACCCCCTCCTTATGAGATAGTCACCCAATGTAACCCAATGCTTATTGGTTGATCCCACTTTCTGCTGATCCCTTGTTATAGTACACTTATATAACCAGTGATTGTAAGACTTTAATGTCTTATGCTAAAGCCTATCATCAACAGGTTAAAGCAGCTTTTCCTGTTCCCAATTCAAATGATTCTGTTAATTGTAGTCTAGAGCCCGGTGACTGGGTATTTTGGATACATCACAAGAGAAAAACAGCTCTTGAGCCCCATTGCAAAGGACCATCTCAAGTGCTCTTGACCCCTGACACTAATGGAAAACTAGAGGGCATTGAGCCTTAAATACACCTCTCACAGCTAAAGTTACCAGCTGCCTTCTGGCCCTGTATAGATGCTGGAGACCTTCAAATAAAACCAACAAACAAGAAAAGCAGCTGACATTGAGGCAGACTGCTTCCACCCAAGAGGCCAGATCAAGACTTCAGATTTTAAGCACGAAATCTTTTTTCATTTTCTTTCCTTTACTGTGGCATTGGCCTACAAAGATAATGCCTTCAGTATCTCCCAGGCCCTTAGAAAGGGGGTAACCTTTCAGACTGCTGGATTCATCATCAAAGATCCCAATCTTCCCATGACGCTAGAGACTTCCTGGTACTCCTTGTGACCAACTACTCTTCTATTCCCAATGTAAATACTAACTATAATTAATACCCCCACTCCTGCTGCCCCTGAAGAAGTCTCTTACCAAGTTTCACGTTTATGACCAGAACAACTGGTGCCTTGTTTTTACCTTTCTTCAATTATACCTGTATGTACCAAATTAGACACAAAGACTTAATGTAAGTCTTAGTACATTTGCACCATAGCCTTCCCATAGGAGGCTCAGATCTGCCCCTACTCACTAAGAGAAAACATCAGCAGTAAACATCTTTGCAAGGTATTTAGAATGACTTGTTCTTTTATGCTGGGAGATTTTCTTTCCATATGAGCTAAAAACCTAAATTATTCCTGGCTTGAATGGGTAGACACACCAATTCCTACAAATGAATCCACGAACACTAACACTTTAATGAGAACGGTTTGTGCTCTGAGAGGGTCTGTCTTTCCCTGTGGTTGTTATCATTCTCCTTGGCCCTGTGGATGCCTACATAGCTGCCACACAGCTGGGCAATGCCTCTTAGGTTATGTAATGGTGTCCCTAACTTTTCACAAGCAAACTAGGACATCTTATTGATCAACTCCCCTGGATTTACATTGTCAAGACATACCTGCCAAAAGGCATTCATGGCTTAGGATTTGCTTCCCTTGGCAAGGCCATACTTTCCCGGTTATAGGAGTAAATGTAAAGGCGGTTATGATCAGAAACCCCTCCTTGGAATACTATGCAGCCATCAAAAGAAATGAAATCTTGCCATTTGCAACGACATGGATGGAACTAGAGGGTATTATACTCAGCAAAATGAGTCAATCAGAGAATACAATTATCATATGATCTCTCTGGTATGAGGAATTTGAGAGGCAGAGTGGGGGGCTTGGGGGATAGGGAAGGAAAAAAATGAAACAAGATGGGATCAGAAGAGAGACAAAGTATAAGAGACTTACAAAACAAACTGAGGGTTGCCAGGGGGAGGGGGGTATAGAGAGGGTGGTTGGGTTATGGACACTGGGGAGGGTATGTGCTATGGTGAGTGCTGTGAAGTTTGTAAGCCTGATGACACACAGACCTGTACCCCTGGGGCAAATAATACATTATATGTTAATAAAAATAATTTTTAGAAAAGAAAAAAGAAAAAAAAAAAAAGAAACCCCTCCTTACCAGATACAGAATTTGTTGCTAAGACAATAGCTTCCAAAATAGATCTTTAGACTCTGACTAAAGTTGCTGTTGTTGTTGTTAAAGATTTATTTATTTAGAGAGAGCGCACGTGAGCGGGAGCTTGATCTAGAACCCTGAGATCCTAACCTGAGCTTAAATCCAGTCAGACGCTTAACTGACTGAGCCACCCAGGCATCCCCAAAGTTGTTCTTTTTTTTTTTTTTTAAGATTTTATTTATTTATTTGACAGATCACAAGTAGGCAGAGAGGCAGAGAGAGAGAGAGAGAGAGAGAGGAGGAAGCAGGCTCCCCGCTGAGCAGAGAGCCCGACGCGGGGCTCAATCCCAGGACCCTGAGATCATGACCTGAGCCGAAGGCAAAGGCTTTAACCCACTGAGCCACCCAGGCGCCCCCCAAAGTTGTTCTTAATAACAGAAGAGCTCTTGAATATTTTTTAGCTGAGCAAGGAGGCATCTGTGCTGTGACCAACAAAACCTACTGTACCTGGATTAACACCTGCAGAGGCTGAAACTCAGCTGGGTAAGATCACAGAACAAACGACTTGATGGCTTAAAAGGTGACTACTTCCACAAAGCCTTTTTTTGACCTACTGGTTTGGTCTTAGGGACATGGCTCCAAAGTGCACTCCAAACATCAGGAATTATCTTGTTTATAATAATCTCCGTGCATTTATTCCCTCAAAATTATGCCTCCTCGCTGTAGCAAATCCCCTCCCTCCCTCCCTCTAGGTTTCCACCAGCCTACATTACCACCTACATTACCCAGAAGATCAGGCGCGCAGCTGAGCCAATGGAAGCATTTCCGCGGTATTTCATCGCCGGGGGAGGGACTTCCGGCCTCCTCCTTGACGCTCTGGGGCGTGCGGGGGCGAGACCGAAGTGAGTAGACTGTGAAGGCGTGGGAGTCGTTGTCTCCACGGCAAAGAGGCGGGTTTGCGGCTTGGTGACGCCTTCCAGAGCTGCCGGGGCTTGGACCGGGACCGCCGGCCCGGGTGTACGCCCCGCCCTCCCAGTCGGATGGCGGCGGTCGCGCCCAGGGACCCGGTTGAGGTAAGCGCTAGTTCCCTGGGCCCTCCCCGCCGTCCCCCAACCCAGACCCCATAGGCCCGAGCGCCGGCCACCTGCTCGCGTCCAAGCGGCCCGGGCCCCGGTATCCGGGACGGGGAGGCGCCGGCCGGCTGCGTGCGGGAGCGGGTTCCGAGCTGGGGCCCGCTGGGCGGGAGGCGGGAGGAGACCTGAGGAGGGAGGATTCTGCCCTCAGGGGACCGAGAGCGTGAGGCGGAGTCACTTCTGGACTGGCGGGCCGAGGTGCGGGACCTACGTCCTGAGGGCCCTGGGACCCATAGGAAGATCGTGAACAGAAAGATACAAGTCTGGCCTCCCACAACATGTTCTCAGTGGTAGGTCCCCCAATAATGGCTCCCTCTGGCTAAGTAGGCTCTTAAACTCGGGGTTGTGGTTTCCTATGAAATTCCATTTCCCCAGTTCTTGAGTTTGGAGACCACGGAGAAACCCAAAGACCAGGGTGTGAAACCTGTAACGATTATAAGCAGGTGCGGAGGGTTCTGTCGGGAACTGGTAGGAAGATGTATAAAGGCTCTGGTAAAATGGAGTTGGGGGTGATCAGGAAACCACCAGCCTCTCCTGTCTTTTGTGTGGGAAGAAAAAGCAGGTGTGAAGGCATGACTGGAATTGCTACCGGAGAAGTTCTGTGTCTATTCTGGAAGTCATAAGAGATATGGATCAGAGGACAGATGATATGATATGTCCGGAATACTCAATGCTCTAAGACTAGAGACATATTTATGAATTAGAACAAATGAAGTACTCAAAGTTGACATTTCTATGGCTTAGAATCCTTTTAAAATCATGAAATACTAACAAGATAATTAGGAAAATGCAATAAAAGTAAAAAAAAAAAAAAAACCGAACTCGTGGTAATCCTATATGAAGCTTTCAGCTATTTAAACATTTAGAGAAAATATCTTTTTTTTTTTTTTTTTTAATTAACATGTAATGTGTTATTTGCCCCAGGGGTACAGGTCTGGGAATCGTCAGGCTTACAAAGTTCACAGTGCTCACCATAGCACATACCCTCCCCAATGTCCATAACCCAGCCACCTTATCCCTCCCCCCACCCCCAGCAACCCTCAGTTTGTGAGATTAAGAGTCTCTTAGGTTTATCTCCTTCCCCAGTCCCATCTTGTTTCATTTTTCCCCTCCCTACCCCCACTCCCCCACCCTGCCTCTCAAATTCCTCATACCAGAGAGATCATATGATAATTGTCTTTTAGGAAAAATATCTTAATGAAATAAAAATTTGAAAAACAAATTAATAATAAGAAATGTGACAAGAATTGAAAGAAATCAAAAAACATATCAGGAACTGTGAAAAGCAGACCTAAATAAAAATAGATACAAGCCATTTTTTATGTAGAATGATTAGATATTATAAATACAGCTACTATAAAAAAGACAATTTGTGTATTTCAAACACAAATGCTAATATTCCTGGGCTATTAATTCAAATTGAGAGCCCCAAAATAACCCCACACTTATCAGTTAATCTATGACAAAGGAGGCGGTAGGGAAAAGATAATCTGTTCGATCAATGGTATTGGCAGAACTGGACAGCTACATGGAAAAAAAAAATGAAACTGAGCCACTTTCTTACGCCATTCAGAACAAATGAACTGAAAATGGATTAAAGACCTAAATATATGGGGTGCCTGGGTGGCTCAGTGGGTTAAGCCTCGGCCTTCGGCTCAGGCCATGATCTCAGGGTCCTGAGATGGAACCCTGCATGGGGCTCTCTGCTCAGCGAAGACCCTGATTTCCCCTCTCTGCCTACTTGTGATCTCTCTCTCTGTCAAATAAATAATCTTTTAATTTTTTTTAAATTTAAGACCTAAATATGAAACCTGAAACCATGAAACTCAAAACTGCCTATTTTCAGTAATGGCATGAATATCAATCTCCAATATTTATCTGAATCTGTCTCCTTAGACAAGGGAAACAAAAGCAAAAATAAACAAAAAGGACTGAATCAAACTCAAAAGCTTTTTCATGCAAGCCATCAACAAAACAGAAAGACAAAGATAATAGTTACTGTATCCAATTAGGGGTTAATATCCAAAATATATAAAGAACTCACATACCTCAACACCAAAGACCCCTAAAAATTTCAGTTAAAAATTGGGAGAAGATCTGAATGGACATTTCTCCAAAGAGGATATACAGATTGCCAACAAACATGAAAGAATGCTTAGTATGACAAATCAACAAGGAAATGCAAATCAACACAAGGAGATATCACCAGTCAGAATGGCTAATATCAAGACAAGAAATAAGTGTTGGCAAGAACGTGGAGAAAAGGGAACACTCATGCACTTTTAGTGGGAATGTAAGTTGCTGCAGCTACTCTGGAAAGCAATATTGAAGATCCTCAAAAAACCAAAAATCGAATGACAGTCCAGTAGCTCTACCCCTGGATATTTACCTGAAGAAAACAAAACACTAATTCAAAAAGAAATGTGCACCCCTTTATTTATTGCATTATTTACAACAGGCAAGATATGGAACCAACCAAAGTGTCCATCGATGAATGGATAAAGATGTGATATATATACACAGTGGACTATTACTCAGCCATAAAAAAGAAAAAAACCTGCCATTCATGACAACATGGATGGACGTAGAGGGCATTATGCTAAGTGAAATAAGTCAGATGGAGAAAGATACTGTATGATTTCACTTACATGTGGAATCTTAAAAAACAAAGGAGAGAAACTGACTCATAGAAAACTAGTCCTTGCCAGGGAGGAAGGGGTAGGGGGATAGGCAAAATTGGTCAAGGGGATTAATTAGCAGAAACTTGCCATTATAAAACAAGTAATAGAGATGAAAAGTACAGCATAGGGAATATAGTCAATAATATTGTAATGACTTTGTTTGGTGACAGATGGTAACTACACATACAGTGAACATTTCATGATGTATGTTTCAAATCACTAAATTGTGCATCTGAGATATATTACATTTCAACTATATCTCAATGTAAAAAATTGTTAAAAGAAGAAATGTGTTCTAAAGGGCAATAAATATAAGTTTATTGAGAAATCTTACATTTACATAATATCTAACAGTTTATTCTGGAAAGGAAACCAGAATGGGCTGGTGGTACACAGGAGATAGCCAGGGAACACCCCTGTTATCTATAGATTGGTAAACTTTTATAAACATATATGTATTCGATTTGATTATCAACTGGTAGAGAAAATAGATAATGGAATAAATATTAAGATGGGTTGCAAATGAGAAGGGAAAAAAGAATCTCCATTTATATCTCAAGTCAAATAGAAAATAAGCTGTAGCAACCCTAACATGAAAACAAAAAGCCTAAGCTTATTAAAAAAAAAAGAAAAAAAGATTTTTTTTAAACAAACCTGTGCTTGAAATGTGCAAGTCATTACAAAACAAGACCCCAATTTAAAACCACAAAATATGCTTGTCACTTTAAGATAAAAATGGATGCAAAATACAAAGACAACTAAAAACTTTAATTGCAAAAATAACTTATATAATGTAAAAAAAAGAGCTATAATATTTTCAGTATCCATATAAGCCATAAAATATTAGGAAAAGCTTTAAAACAGGCAATTTTTGTGAAAATTATCTAGTATATGGAGAAACAACTATACAATATATTAATTTGTGAAAATTTTTCATTGATTTCAAAATTAACCATTAACACATTCAAAACTAAAGTGGACTGAAATTTTTGAATGTTTCAAAATTTCTAATTGTAGAAAACTTACATAGTTATATATTTATTACTTTACCATTTCTAATTTATATCACCCTCATTTCACTGAATTTTTTAAAAATGTATTTGGAAGGGGCGCCTGGGTGGCTCAGTGGGTTAAGCCGCTGCCTTCGGCTCGGGTCATGATCTCAGGGTCCTGGGATCGAGTCCCGCATCGGGCTCTCTGCTCAGCAGGGAGCCTGCTTCTCTCTCTCTCTCTCTCTCTGCCTGCCTCTGTGTCTACTTGTGATCTCTCTCTGTCAAATAAATAAATAAAATATTAAAAAAATGTATTTGGAAGCTTTCCTGTGCACACTAACAAAATTCATTAAAATAAAAATGCTTTTTGTTTTTCCAAGTGGTCATCTGTTGCATACATCATATTAAACAGTTTAAGTTTTAAATAAGTAAAACTCACGTTGAATTTTTAGGGAAGAAAAACAAAGGACGCTTAACGAACCAAAACATAGCTATGTGACAAGAATCTCTGCTGTGTGGAATAACATACCTTAATAGTATTCATCATTGTGCATTTAAGCATCATAAATCAAATTTGTCTAGAGGATCTGAAGAGAATTAATCTGGCAATTAGGGCAAGTAGAGGTCCATAAGGAGTGTTCTCTCTGTAGATACGAAAATGAATCAGGATGAATGGGTGGCTCAGTTGGTTAAGCATCTGACTTTAGCCCAGATCATCTCAGAGACTTGGAATCAAGCCCTGCATGGGGCTCTCTTCTCAGCACAGAGTCTGCTTGTCCCTCTCCTCCTCCCCCCATTGGGGCATTCTCTCTCTCGCAATTAAAAAAAAAAAATGAATCAAATTATTTCTATGATAATCCACCAATTGGTGAGCATGCTTTTGGTCTCAGTTAAAGAGTGATTCAGAAGAGAAAAGAAGCTAGATCACACATGTGGATTGGACAAAATTCCACAGTAAATATACTGATTTATGTGGCACTCTATAGAATGAACAAAACTAGGGTATTACTAATGCAATATAAATGCCAATAACTAAGAGCTAAGCACAGAACAAACTGCGAAAAGGAAAGTTATAGAAATATAAATATTTTTTAATATAAAAACATAGAAGCTAATAATCCCATGTAATTCTGTCATGAGTAAGTGCTCAGTGTTTTTTTATTTTTTGGCTCAGTGCTTTTTTTTTTTTTTTTACTTTTATTGATGCTCCCAGGAGCCAAGGTAAACACCATCATCACTTCTAGGTCATTGTCAGCAAACTGAGTTTCAAGGAGCTCTGGGGAGTTGCCCAGATATTCCCAGGAATCCACAAACCTCAGTAATGTGCAGACCCTCCTCCCTGCAGATGGGTTTTGGGGGTTGACCTGTATCAGGGGCTCCTGAGAAGCTCGATTCCTGACATGCCAGGGGGGCACAGTGGTCTGGTGGTAACAGGGAGAGCTATAGGTGTCTGGATCTAGGATGCTTCCCACAGGTAGACCTACACAAGAATGGACACCTCAAATCTTCAGTTTCCAATGGACTAGGAATAGGGCAGCTCCTAAGTTCCATTTTACATAGGATGAAACTGAAGCCCTGGATGAGGGCATTTGCCTGTGGGTCCTTACAATGGCCAGGAGTCCAGGAATTAAACTTAGAGACAAAGGACCAGGACTTGGGGAAGTCTACGTCACCCCCCAGCCAGGCTTTGAGACTCAAAGTAAAAGCCCAGCCCCATTCTGATGCAACCTTTTCCACCATCTGCTCCGGCCCACCAACCCCAGTAGTGATAACCCAGGGAAATGAGTAGCCACTACAAAGCAAGGCTTTATTGTATTCTTCAACAACTGGACTTAAGGAGAATGTGATGGAGAGGGGTGCCTGGGCAGTTCAGTGTCTGCCTTTGGCTCGGGTCACAATCATAGGGTTGAGCCTTGAGAGTCGGGCTCCCTGTTCAGCCGGGAGTCTGCTTCTCCCTTTCCTCTTTCTCCCCCCACCCCACCCCACCATTTGCTCTCTCCCGCAAATAAATAAATAAAATCTTTTAAAAGAATGTGATGGGGTGGGTTGCTCAGTTATGCGTCTGCCTTCAGCTCAGGTCATGATCGAGTCCTAGATCAAGCCACATACTGGGCTTCCTGCTCAGGAGGGAGTCTGCTTCTCTCTCCCTCTGCCCCTCCCCACTACCTGTTCTCTCTCAAATAAAATTTAAAAAAAAATGTGATGGAGAACATGTTAATAATGCAGAAAAAATTTAAAAGGGTACAGCTGTTCAGTGCATGTGAGCACATACGCACTTGTTTCACTGTCCTGTCAAAGGAAAATAGCCAAAGCTCAAAGAATAAGAAAAAGATGTGCGCAGGCATTTTACCAAAGATGCAGACAGCAAATGAGCATTGGGAAAAATGCCCATCATTAACCCTTACAGAAATACAACTAAAATGAGAGAACACTAAAAACTTATTTTTAAAAAGGCTAAAATTAAAATGATTGGCTAAACCACATATTCAGAATGTGGAGGAAATGGAACTCTCATACCTGCTGGGAAGATACAAAAGGTGTGATCCAAAGTAAAACATTTACCTACCCTGTGACCCAGACGTCATGTTACCAACAGAAGTTCAAAGAAACATACACTCACATAAAACATGTTTAAACTAGCTTTATCCTCAATAGTTAAAATATAGAAAAAACAAAGATAAATGGATAAACTGGCATATGTAAAAAATTACTCAGCAAAAAACCCACTACTCATGTAGTATCACGGATGAATCTCAAAGTAATTGCGACACATAAAAACAACAAATACTCAACTCCAAACATTCAAAAAATTCAAAGGTACCCATCCATCTATTGTAAGAGAAAGTAAACCAGTGGTTTACTGGTTTACCAGTAGGGGCAGGGGAGATTATAAAAGGACATGAGATAAACATAATGTGACAGATATGTTCATTATCACGGTTGTGGTTTCAGAAATTCATAACTATGTCAAAACTTAGCAAATTACACTGTAAATATATGCAGTTTAGTACATATAAACTACACCCCAATAAAGCTTTAAAAATGGCTCAAGACAGAATGTCTGTGTCCTACTCTTTTTGGAAAATAGGTTTGGCAACCCCACACTGACTCCATCTCTTTCTCATGCCTATAGGGGTATTATGTCAGTGGCAGCAAATGTAGAGAACAACGAAGAATATTTACATACAAGTTCAGGAATGCTTCCTGGTCACAAGTGCCAGATCCCAGGTATACAGATCCTCCTTTATCTTTTTTCCCTGCCTCTGTGGTAGTGGCTTTGAGGCAAACATCACTGAGAGGAAACCACAGAACCTTTTGATTATTTTTTATTTTTTTTCTCTGACAATGACTTTACCTGCACAAGATAAATACGCCTGGAGGTCCTGAGATTTGTGTACACACCGATCCTACAGTCACTGTCATAGAAACTCGTCCGGAAGCATTTTTTTTTTTTAAGATTTTATTTATTTCTTTGACAGACACAAGTAGGCAGAGAGGCAGGCAGAGAGAGAGGAGGAAGCAGGCTCCCTGCTGAGCAGAGAGCCCGATGTGGGGCTCGATCCCAGGACCCTGAGACCATGACCTGAGCCGAAGGCACAGGCTTTAACCCACTGAGCCACCCAGGCGCCCCATCCGGATGCATTTTTAGAAGAGGCACATTCCATCCAGTTGGCTGCAGTCTCCGCTTCCTGTGAAGCCAGTGTTTCTGTACCAAATATAGTTTCTCCTGCCCACTGTGGTCTTTCGACCAGTGACCTCAGCCCAATAGGTTGTGGACATCAGGGCACATGGCTGCTTGTAAAGCTGGGGTTAATAAGCCCCCAACAGTGCTGACATCCCCTGTGATACCTCCTTTCAGCAAGTGAAAAAAATTCATGCTCCTTTCAGAAGCATCTGAGGGTCTCACACCTGCCCCCTCCTGAAACACAAAGCATGCAGATCACAAATGAAAACCAGAAAGCCCTGCAGTTTTTCAGAGGTGGTGAAGCAGCAATGCAAATTTGGCCAAACTGGCAAGCTATTTTCTGCCATCCTCCCCTCCCTCCTGAAGCATGGACAATTTAAGACTCCTAAAAAGTTCACCCAGCAATGCTTGTTGAGCCCAAATCCGTACATAAACTATCGCACAGAGTAAGCAGAATATCCAAGATTAAAGAGGACTTAAAGAATAAGGC